CCACAGCACTACTTCTATCACCGAAACTGTTGAAACTCGTACTAACGCATTTATTAATCCAAAGACAAAGGGACGATTGTATTAAAGAACAAACCGAACTGCACCAGATAGCGCGCCGGTATCTGGTGCACCCGCTCTGCGTGACATATAATTCACAACAGTGATATGTTCCTGCGAAAAACATGTAGTTTTTGAAGATCTGGCGAACAAGTTGTAAACCGACTCTGTCATTTCAGAGACGAAGTGATGGTTCTCTTAAAAGGAAATAACACGTGAAGTCTCTGTCGTCCAAATCGTTCTAACTCAAGTGTATTGCGCGCTACTTGCCGCTCGCTGCCGAAACGCCAGATACACGCATATTGTTTTTGTCACCACAGTACTATTTCTATCGCCGAAACTGTTGAAAATCGTACTAATGCACTTATTAATCTAAAGGCAAATGGACGATTGTATTCAAGAACAAACCGAACTGCACCAGATAGCGCGCCGGTATCTGGTGCACCCGCTCTGCGTGAAATATAATTCACAACAGTGATATGTTCCTGCGAAAAACATGTAGTTTTTGAAGATCTGGCGAGCAAGTTGTAAACCGACTCTGTCATTTCAGAGACGAAGTGATGGTTCTCTTAAAAGGAAATAACGCGTGAAGTCTCTGGCGTCCAAATCGTTCTAACTCAAATGTATTGCGCGCTACTTGCCGCTCGCTGCCGAAACGCCAGATACACGCATATTGTTTTTGTCACCACAGTACTATTTCTATCACCGAAACTGTTGAAAATCGTACTAATGCACTTATTAATCTAAAGGCAAATGGACGATTGTGTTAAAGAACAAACCGAACTGCACCAGATAGCGCGCCGGTATCTGGTGCACCCGCTCTGCGCGAAATATAATTCACAACAGTGATGTGTTCGTGCGAACAGCATATTGTTTTTGAAGGTCTGGCGAGCAAGTTGTAAACCGACTCTGTCATTTCAGACAGGAAATGATGTTTCTCTTAAAAGGGAATAGCACATGAACTCGCTGGCGTCCAAATTTTTCTAGCTCAAGTGTATTGCGCGCTGCTTGCCGCTCGCTGCTGAAACGCCAGATACACGCATATTGTTATTGTTACCACAGTACTACTTCTATCACCGAAACTGTTGAAAAGTCGTACTAATGCATTTAATAATCCAAAGACAAAGGGACGATTGTATTAAAGAACGAACCGAACTGCACCAGATAGCGCGCCGGTATCTGGTGCACCCGCTCTGCGTGATATATAACTCACACCAGTGTTATGTTCCTGCGAAAAGCATATTGTTTTTGAAGATCTGGCGAGCAAGTTGTAAACTGACTCAGTCATTTCATAGACGAAGAGATGTTTCTCTTAATGTATTGCATATATAGCTGCTGCAGAAAGGTTCAAGATTTGGCCGTTTCTCTCCAGAGTAAAATGAACACCCAAGGTAACGAGTACTATTGTTATTAATAAATTTCGTATGTAGCTTATATGCGTTGATTAATTGATCAATGTTACTTTGTTACGATGCCATTGCGCCCACAGCTGCAAAGACGTGGCTCGAGTCTCGAAATCTTTGATTTCATACGTTCATACGCAATGGCGTATGAATTTGCTTACCTGGAGGGAGGCGCCGTTATCGGCCCTCTTCCCACCTTGCCCCCCAGCGCCGCGTGGAGCAAGTTGGGGATGCGCCAGCAAGATCGCTTGAACAACGGCGAGGATTCGGGAACTTTGAAAGCCGCATGCTGCACATGTAACATTTGCTTTGGCCCCGTAAACAAAAATGACAGACCTCCACAACGCAAATGCGATTGCATTCGCGATGGGAGGGAAACTGGAACGACGTTTCGATCATTGTTTCAGCCTCCTTGCATCGGTCCCGAGGACGCGATCTGGATCCCATGCAACTTCCAGTGCGGCTGGAAGAAGTGGACCTTCCAACGCCGCGAAGGCAATCTGGAAATGCCATAATTCCACTTGCGCCGATTTGTGCCATGCCCGACTTGAGAAAACAGGACGTTGCGTTCGCGCCTTTGTGGCCTGGCCAGAGAGGTGCTTTAGCGCTTCCAGAACTCAAGACGGGCTTGGCCAGAGTCGGCGCAAGGGTAGAGCTGGCGCTTCCATAGGGCAGATCATGTACTACAAGCCCGCATACGTCGAGCTCGAGTGGATAGCGGTGCGTCTTCTTCATCCGATTCAGGCGGCAATCACCCCGGTCAACTTTCACCAGCCGTCGCACGCTCTCGCCGTGCACGTGACAGTTGAACACTCGCCCGAGTTGTCGCAGCTCCTCGGCACATACGTCGCCGCATATTCGACTACGATGAAGACCATCAAAGCGTACGTGCTGGACCAGCTCGCCTTACCAAATCATCACACCGTGGTGTTGAAGGTGGGCCAGCAGCAAGTGAGCGGCCGGCAGCAGGTGGCCCCCTGCTTTGGCCTCAGCCGGAAGCGCCCGCGCTGAGTCCCGAGGGCACGCCCGCTCGACCCCATATAGATTGGTTTATCATTTTGCCCGCCGACCAGATACCGGGCTGCCTTCCAGGCTAGATTTGCTTCCGACATTTTCTATTTCGCATCCCTAGTGCTATCTCCAAGTGTTCCACGGCAAAAAATGTTATCTCATCCGTTTCAAAAACACTTACGCATTTACATTCCAATGTAAACATATACACAACGTGCGCCCCCCGCGTACCCACTCGCAACAAAGCTTGGGAAACATGTCAGACATCAGCTGGCAGGGTGGCGTGGCGGGCCGCGGGCAATTCGCCCAAGCAGCGCCCACACAAGCCAGAATAAGTCACCTCCCGCCCGCCCGCCCGCGATGGCGCTCGCTCTTGGCAGCGCCGAGGTGGCGGCCCTCTTCAATGCCGGCCTCGTCACGCGCCAGACTCTCTTGTCCGCTGCGTGGAGGTTGGGGGAGATGGGGATGCTCGCCGAGGAAGATGACCTCAATTGGATGACCTCCGGCGTCGATGCGGGCTCCGCGGCGACGGTTGCAGCGCCGGCCAAGGCGCCGCCGCCGGCCGCGCCGGCCAAGGCGTCGCCGCCGGCCGCGCCCCCGAGTCCGCCACCGGCCAAGGCAGCGCCGCGGCGGCCAGGGGACCCATGGATGGATCGAGGCGCTGCTGTGGAGGAACACCACCATCATCACCATCACCACAGCCACCCGACCACCGTCATCTCATCTGATGTCGAGTCGGTGCGGGGCTCCCGCTGGGCGCACTACGCGTGCCTCGACCACGCGCGCGTGCTCCCGGGCCTGATGTTCCGTCGCCACTGCTCAGAGTAGGGGCCGATGCGCCTTGCGGATCTCAAATGCTTCGTCGAGGTCTGCAAGGCTGTTCGCCCTCCAACTCACGGCAGTGGCAGCTGGATATCTATCCCCCAGGTATTGGATGGCTGGGAAACGTACTACCTGGACAACACTTTTACCACGCTGTTCTTCTATCACAACCCGACCGGCGCGAGCCAGTGGCACCCGCCGAGCGACGACGTCAGTGCGACGGGTGGCACCTGAGCGCTTGAGCATCTGTTTGATTTGATTGCTGATAGTGGCGATGCTACTTTTCCTGTTTTACTAACATGCTTTGGGCCCGCCTCCCACCGCCTGGCCCCCGCGCCGCCGCTTCCGCTTGTATATCTATCCGACTGTTTTCGGAGACTCTCAGAGTTTATTTGTTCGCTTTGTCTTATCCTAAGAAACGACGCCGCGCTTGCTCGTCTGATATGTTGCATCAGTATATTCATTAGCTCCTTCCCGCTATCTCTCTCGCCTTCTCTCTCTCTCTCTGTCTCTCTACCTTGCATGTGCTCATTGTTTCTTCATATCGTCCTCCCTCTCTCTCACTCTGCTAACTGAGCTGCCATGAGAAGGTCGCTCATCTTGCTTTCTGTGCATCTTGGAACGGGCTAATGTTCACGAAGGGGCGTTGGCTTCTGACCGCGATCGATCAGGGCAACGTTGCGGTCGATTGCTTCGAGCAGCGGCCCCCTTAGAAAAAAAAAACAGACAAGGGGCTCTTGCCCACTGCAGTTTTCGGAGGGCCATCAACCTGGCAGTGGGCAAGGGCGTTTCGGCCTGCGTGCGCCTCACTGAACGTTCTCCAGACCTGACATCTGGCCGCGGCGATGAGTTTGCGCGGCCACAGAAAGAAATGCCAACTCCAGAAATAAATCTAGAGGTCCAGCCCGCAATACCCAGGAACGCCAGCTTTTGCCCCCCACCGCCTACAGCTTTTTGATAGTCAGAAACCTGGTAGTGGGCAAGAGCCTTTTCCGATAGCCCATATTTTCATGAACTAGCGATAGCTTCTGCGTGCGATCGATCAGGGCGACGTTGCAGCCAATTCTCTCGAGTAGCTATCAGAGCGAAGCCCAGGAGCTTCTGCCCGCGATTGGTCAGAGCGACGTTGCAGCCGATAGCATTGAGCAGATGTCAGAACGAAGGCCCGAGGAACGCATTTCCGATCTCGACTCGTCCGTCTCTCTATCTCTCTCTCTCTCTCTCTCTTTCTCTGTGCCAACCGAGCTCCCATGGGTGTCCGATCGCCCATCTCGATGTCGGCGTGTCTTGGAGGAATTATCTACGAAAGTGCGATAGCTTTTGCCTGCGATTGATCGCGGCGGCGTTCCAGCCGATTGCTTTGAACAGCTGTCAGAGCGAAGCCCAGGAGAGCCCATCCCCGATCTCGACTCTCTCTCTTTCTCTCTCACTCTTTCTCTTTGTCAACCCAGCTCCCAGGGAGCCGATCGCCCATCTTGAATTCTGCGTGTCTCGGAATGAAGTACATGTATATGAAAGAGCGATAGCTTCTGCCTGCGATTGATAGGAGCGACGTTGCAGCCGATTGCTCGAGCAGCTTTCGAAGCGAAGCCCAGGAGAGCTCATCTCCAATCTCGACTCGAGGGTCCTGCGCCCTCCTTCATATTTCCGACTCGAGGGCACGGCGCCCTCTTACAAACTGATTCGTTGCTGTTACTCAGCATCCCAATGGCGTCGTCGTTGCAGCTGGATCTCAGCAGCGAGGAGGTTTTTGCGCTCGTCGAGGCGGGCGTCATTTCAGGCCAAACAATCCACGACGCCTATCGTGCAGAAGCAGCATCGGCCGGATGGCCTCGCAGCGACTTGCCTGAGATTGACGTCTTGGAGTCTTTGGTGGCGAAGGGCGTCCTGACGAACGAGGGCGTCCTTGACTGGATGCAGTCGGGCGTGGTGACGGCGCAGACAGGACCCGCTGGCGGGCGTTCGTCGAAGCCTCGCCGCCGCCCGACTGATCCGAAGGACAAGGCGCCTTGGTACATGCGCGGCTTGAATGCCCCCATCTTCGCGAAGACAGACCTCCAGCCGGAGCTGGCGTTGCTTTCGCGCCAGGGCAACTGCGTCGCGCATGGCATCGGCCACGTGATCGGCAAGGCGCTGGATGCCGTAGCATATGCGAAGATCTTCCCTGCCGCCGCTTCGCGTGGCCGCAAATACGTGGACGTCGCCGCTGCGCTGGGCGTTGGTTGGCAGGAGGCGCCTGGGCGGGCTTGCGTCGTCGGCGCGTCGGAGAGCGGGCAGGCGCGCTCGATCGGTTCGCGGGGGACTGCCAGTCGCGGCCCCCCGTCGGGCCGCGCAAAATGATCCCCTCGAATCTGTCGGGCGCGCGGCCCGCTTCGCCGTTGCCGCCGCTGACGCCGAGCTCTCGCAAGGTGAGCGACCTTTCTCTCCCTGGCGCCTACCTATGTCATCAGTCTGGCAAGAGAGTGGGGCATTGCACGGGAGTTCGCGTACATGATCGCTACGTTACCATTTGGGAGAATAAGTACAAGTTTGAAACCACGTCCAAGGTATCGGCGCCGCCAAACATGTTGATTTTCAAAGTCATCATCGCTGACAAGGGAGCGCATGGCCATTGCCTGGGCCGTCGTCTGCGCGGTCTCAGGGCCGGCACGTCTCGCGGGGGGTGCGGGCGCACTCAGGTCGTGCTTATTTTTGCGATCATTCCCTTGGACATTTCGAGGGCTTCGACGGTCTCATGCCGCCGACCGTGCTAGCTGCCGCTGGCAATGCCATGCTGACCTTGGAAGGGTTGTTCAGGTCCTTCAAGGCGCCTGTCGCGCGCAAGGACGCGGACGTACTGAATGCGATCGATTCGTCCATCAAGGAGGCCTTGGCGCAGAACAACAACGACTTGCCGAGTGCAATGTTGACTTTCCATGACAACTGCATGTTCAACAAAGGCAATAACTTGTTGAAAGCAGGGAGCGCCGCGCCTGGCAGACAGAGCGAACCGGGCGGCGACGGCGAGGATGCAGAGGGCGCCCTTGCAGCCCCTGCACCGGACACGAGCAATTCGGCTGACAGCTGGTTCGTGCTAACGGCTCAGACCGTATCCAAAGTGTCAACTAAGCTTCAGTATGAGTTGTTGGGAAACAAGTTGGTTCCTTATTTCATTGAGTGGTGTTCAACTGACATGCAGCGGGTTCCAGGATGCGCGTGCGCTGACTGCTGCGTGTTGTACGATCGCAGCGCTTTCGAGAACGTTTGCTTGTTGTCGTCTCGTTCACCAGAGAACAACATATATCTCGGCATCCCGACACCTCTGCTGGACCCGGTGCTTGGCGCCGCCATGGAGCGCGTTCAGCGCGTGTATGAGCAACTTTTTTGGTCTATACCCGAATCGTTCGTCTTCGGCCAGGCAGCGCAGGCATTGGCCAAGCGCGGTCAAAACATCGATCAAATAACTGTGTATTGGGGGCCGGGCGGCGTCGGCCTATCCTTCTACACTTCGCACTTGCACGCGATGTACGGCGATGAGAACCACAAGTTCTTTGATCCGAATATATGTTTCCAGGGCGAGGAGATGCGGAAGGTGGTGGAACTCTTGGTCGGCGGCTGCATCTTCACCGGCCAGGAGCGGCCCTCGGGGCAGAGGAGTAGCATGCGCCAGGACTTACTCAAGAAGTTCGCCACGGCCGACACCATCGCGGGGAGACTGCCGTACTCCATCTTGACGAAGATGTACAGGATCATCGGGTGGAAGCGCATGGAGGTAAACCAGTTCTTCACTTTCGACAACGTCAACGAGCGCAACCTGGAGTCTATTGTGCGCCGCATCGCCATCATCAAGATGCAGTCGCGGTTCTTTGACAAGCTCTACGTTGATAAGATTATTCTCGCCGACCCGAGCAGATACGGCATCTTCGCGCGCGATCCCGACGCCAAGGACTTCATGATTAGCGGGGCCGCAGTTGCGGCAGGCCATAAGATTCAGTACGCGTTCGAGGTGGAGAACGGGCCCGACGCGTGCAGAGACATTTTGGTGAACTACACGAAGTGCGGCGGTGACCATGGAGTAACCGAGAAATACGTCAGGATCGCTTGTCATATCAAGGCGGCCGACGCTGCGGAATCAGCGGCGAGCGCTGTCGCCGAGGGCTTGGTTGACCCGCCGTCCCAGGACGGCCATTTGCCGAGTTCGCCGATAGTCCTTCTCAGCAACCATTTGGTGAAGGAGCTGCAGCGGAAAGGATTGAACTACTTGACTTACAGCGTGTTCCGAGCGTCTGCAACACCTCCCGGCGCTAGGCTGAAGGGTAACAAAGAAGAACAATGGGAGTCGTTGAAAGGCAGCGACTTGTGGATCGACGTCGGTTCCAAGGGCAAGGCGGAAGATCGTCTGAGTCCGCGCGTCAAGACTCAGAGAGACGCTTCGATTCTTTGTTCACGGCGGCCGCCATGCTGCGATGCGATATACCCGGAGCATTGCGGCGCATCGGCGCTGGAGGCGGCGCGGTGTACATCCAGATTGGCCAACGAGAAGACTTTGGCAGGCGCGTTTAACGCGCTCGCATCGGCGATTGCTCCTGCGCGGGGGCGGCCAGCGAAGGGCGTCCTCGAGAGGATCGAGAGTTTGGATGAGAGGGCACAGAAGATTTTGTCAATGACAGAGACGTCGCAGCGGCTGCTTGACCGGAGTAAGAGGTCGGCCGACCTCGAGGTTAAGAGAAGGAAGTTGGCCTCGAAGCAGCCGAGCGTTGAGAAGTCTCCAACCCGCCATACTGGAAGGAAAGAAACAGTCCCGCTTGACAGCTTCAAGAGCTACAGGCGCGCAGTGGAGTGGCCGTCTCGGCAGTACGTCAACGAGGAGCTCTCGGCGCAGGCCATGGACCAACGATAACAGCACGTGGTTTTTTCGAGCACTTTCGATTTGGATTTCGTGAACTGCGTTTTTTGTTTATTGGCGCAGATCATTGAAAAGTTGGAGATCATTGACGCTCAGCTGTTCGCGGACGAGATTGCTGCGCTACAGCGCGTTCGCGCAGATCGAGAGGGCGCCTGCAGGTTGGAGTCTGAAAGCCGTCCGCGCTTCCTCGCTCGTCTCGATGCGGTTCCTGGGCCTGGCGCGGCTTGGGGAAATAGGTCCAGGGGCGTTTTAGTCCGCTGTGGGGAGGGGGTGAGGCGGAGGGAGAGGGTCCATGGGGCAGGTGCTTTGGCGAGCGAAGAAGCTTGGGCGAGCTTTCCTCTGGCTCCTGATAGGGGCGTCTTCAAAATGTTGCCGTTCAAGGGCAAGCAAGTCTTGATCAAGCTGATATGCGGCGGCGCTTTGCCGAAGGAATTGTCCGAGAACGAGTTCGCCAAGATGCTGGTGAGAACAGCGCGTTTCCTGCGTTGGCTAGCCGTGGGGCTGTGCCCGGAGCAGTTCAAGCTCCTAGAGTCCGCGCAGCACAAGTGGTTAGAGGCATCGCTGGCCAGCTACATGTGGCAAGGCGTTGAGGATCATTGTTTGGAGCAGTGGGTCGACTTTGTCATGGAAGAGAAAGTCAGTCACGTATCTTTGCATTTCGACGGCCTGCGCGTCGACAAGGGGCGCGCCCTTTTGAGCCAGGCGGGCGGCGATGCGCAGGCCACGGCAGTTTCGGACGCAGAGAAGGTCAAATCCTTTTGCAAGAAATCTGAGGAACGGATTCTTGTTTCTCTGCCTGCAATGGGCATCTTTGCGCAAATGGCTGCGCTCGCGGGCAACTGGTCGGATATGTCGACGAAGGCCGCTGCCGCCGCAACGCCTCCCAGCGCAGCGGCGGCCTCGGCGGCCTCGTCGCCGCTGTTCTGGGCGCCGCCTCGGCGCTCGTATCGGACATGTGCGAGAGCGGCCAATGTGAAGCTGTTGCCCGTGGAAGTGCCACAGGAAAGTTGTCCTGGGCTATTCTTAGTGCACTGCGAGCCAGACGTTGCGCCGCTTTGCGTCGGCATCGACGTGAAACAGCGTGGGCCGCGCAAGTGCTACGTCGGCAGGGAGCGCTGGAGTCTGCCGGCCGGGGCGCTGGACGAGGCGGTGTTGGCGGCTCTCGATCGGTGTATGGTAGTGGCATTTCAGATGAAGCCCGCCGATCGAGATGACGAAGATCATCGAGATAGTTCGTTGGATGGCGCATTGGATTTATTTTCGGGCGCCGGCATAGAGGACAACGTCGCCGCCGTCTGCCGCGCGCGCAGACGCCGCTCGCTCGCGGCGCGCGTCGCCGCAGGTGGCCCGAGCTCAGACCGCTCTCTGTCGCCGCCCTCGCCGGCCAGCCCAGCTGCGCAGCGGGGGGCGGCAGCTCTTCGCGAGCTCGGTTGTTCAATTCGCGGCATCGTGCCTTTTGACCGGCGACGTCTGACGTGGCACGGCAACTGCATCCCGTTCGGCATTGCGGCGCTCGCTGGCGATTGGGATGGCGTCATCGCAGCTGCGACTGTGGATTCGGGCGAGAACGCAGCAGCTATGGCGAGCGGCCTTCGTCGATATAGTGACTGCGCCAATCCTCCTTTGGCGTGGCATTCGGCCAGTGCCGACGACTGCGGTGGAGGACACTTGGCCGATTTCTTGTTCACGGAAAAGTTGCAGGCAGAGAACATTGCGCAGCTGTCGAAGTATTCGAGCACGGCGGCAGCATCTTACACTCAGAAGGGTTATCTTGGGACGTACCTCGAGGTTGTCTCGACGCTTGCTTGCGGATTATCCTCGACTTCGGCGTCGAGGCGGCGTTCGCTCTCGGCGGCGGGCATTCGTCGACCCTTGGCGATGACGTCGCTGCACGCGACGCCATGGGCATGGTGGCCGGAGCCGGCGTCGAGGAGGAGGGGGCCGTTGACGTCGCGAACGCCGGCGACGAGCACGCCGAGGAATTGGATGACGATTCATGCGCGCGCGTGCATGCGAATCTCTTGCAGCTTCTACGCGACGAGGTTACTGACTTCGAGATGATCGTGAAGTCGCTCTCTCGCACAGGCGCCACGAAGGACGGGAATGGGAGCGTTGCAAGGTGCTTGCTTTGCCCATTCAAAGAGTATTCTACTTCGTCTGTAAACGTTAAGAGGGATCTCCTTGCGCATATCGCGAATCACCACGGCTTGCACAGAAAATGCGAGAATGGTAGAGATCGTAAGATGGGATCAGGTCGGTACGTTGCTTCAGACACTAAGCAGTGGAAAGTCATCCAGGCGTTGTTTGACGACAACATGTTATCAAAGCATCAACCGAAGAACTTGCTGCAGCGCAGTGCCGATCTCATGCGGCGGTCGGTGAGCCCGCCGTTGCGGTGTCTTGGTGTTGACAAGCAGATTCGGCTGCTCCTTGACCACGACGGGCCCCGGTTTGTCAACTTCGAGGTTCTCGCGAGAGATGGCGCGCTCCAAGCCAGGCTCGGGCTGGAAGAAAGAGCAGGATGCGGAAAGGGGGGGGGGGGGTGCGACATCTGTTTCGCGCAGCTGGTTTCGGCTCCGCCCGTTGAGCCCGTTCTTCGACGTGCGGGCGCCTCCCGGCGTTGCGGGGCGCCGGGGACAGTAGCTGCGTGAGCTGATTGCGCGCCCTGCCCTTTGCCATCCTACTCTTTCGTCGGCTTCGACAGGCGCGTGGGAAACACGTACTACACGAAGGAGTTCGCCGAGCTCGTCTTCCGCGAATCCATCCTGCACGAAGGTCGAGCGCGCCCGATGAGGGCGAGGATTGTGACGCGCTTTTAAGGAAGCCGGCAGTTGCGTCACGCACCTTCTACCAGGAAAGGTCGTTCAGTGGTTGTCGTTGATGGAGGACGTATTCTCGTCTCCGTTCGTAGAGGAATTGCGAACCAATCTCATGGGCGAGTTGGTTGATAATACAGAGTTGAAGCAACGTTCGTTGGATGAAACTCTGCGCGCTGCCAAGCGCGCATGTCGGGGCCAGGCGAAACTACAGGGAAACCGCAGAAGAGTCGAGCGGCGGGCGTTCCAGACGGCGTGCCAAAGGCGCATTGTGGACTGCCAAAGGGTCGCACGTCAGCCGCCATTGGCAGTGGCCCGTGGCCATCCCCCCCCCCCCGAAGCGGCATCCGTCGGAATGGCGGCTCCAGTTATTCACTTGCCCGAGCGAGCTCTCAGCAGTGCGTCTCAGTGGCATCAGATGATCCGTCGGCGACATTGTTTGCAGAGCTCAAGCAAATCATGCCACAGCTCAAGTTTTTGTGCCTAGATCCTGTTCATCTCGCAATTGTGTATAATCAGGCGCACTGGCGGAAACATTCTCCGGGCCAGGCAGTTTTGCGAATCATTTTGAATAAATTCACTAAAGTGAGCTCAGATTTAAATGGCGCCGCGTGGGGCGCCCCTTACACGGGCCACCAGGCTAGCTCGCTGTCTGCCGCCGAGGGCCGCGCGCAGTCGTTGATAGCCGGCGGCGGCATGCAGAAGCGCCGAGCGCACAAGATCATTGCAGATCTCGACGCCAATGAGCCATTCGTGAGAAAACTTGAGTTCATCGAGGCATTGGCGGCATTGACGTCCGTCTACTGGGAAGAAGTGGACAGGCGCACCCCCGCCGCGCCAAGCAAGAAGCTGGCTGATGTAATAGCGAATGCCGCGCAGCACAGTCGATGCGAGTATCTTTTTAATAATTTGCGCATGCGGCACTCGCTGCCGGCTCGCGCGCCGCCATTGCTCGGTTCGGGCACGAGCCCAAACGAAGCGCTGCATAGCGAGATCAACAAGTGGTTTAAGAACCAGCTGGAGTTGCACGCGCAGACTTTAGAGCTCCAGCTCGGCGTCAACGTAATCGGCAAGCAAATGATGCATAATTCAGCTATGTACGCCCCCACTCTGCGCCAGCTGTCTTCGCAAACTGTCGCAGCTAGCGTGGTCTGCTCGTTTGCGATATCCGCCGCCGAGTGGGCAAATCATTGCGCTTCTCAGGCGCAGGAGCAGAGGGCGCCGCGGCAAGCGCAGCTTCCGCTGGCGCTGCAGCGCAAAGCCGCTGAGCCCCTGGCGAACAAGTGGAAGGTGGATCACAAGCGCATGGTTGGTGCGCGCAAGCCAGCAGGGCAACAACAATTCATTCGCACCCTGAAGCGGCCGGGCGCAGCCAAGCAGCGCAAGCGCACGCCCTTCTCTCTTGTTCGGAAGCGCAGCTAAGGCGGACGGCTTTTCCCTTGATGAATGCTAGTGGTTGCGTTTATGTTTGAAGCTCAACTACGCGCTGCCTTGCCACTGCCTCGACGCGCGGCATTTGCGCTGCCATGCGAAAAAGAGTACTAAACATCGGGAGTTGCGAAGGCTTCGCCTCTATTACCGGAGCCCGATTAAAATAATTTGAACTATTTAATTTCCCAGAGCAAAGTTTTTAATCATTTAAATCAGTACCGCTTCGACGAGAGACGAACCTCAGTTATTTTATTAATCAGTTTTAAACTCTTTATTTTTAAGTTTTTTTTTAAATTAAATAATTAAAACGTTTAATAAGTTTCAATTTAATTACTAAAATCGCAACGTTTCGCTTCTATTACAGGAGCCCCGATTTGAATAATTTAAATAATTTAAACCACCCAGGCAATAAATTATTTAATTTATTGAAAGCAGCGTCCTTTCGTCGAGAGACGAACTTCAGTTATTTTATTAATTAAATTATTTAAACTATTTAAATTTTTTAAATGATTCAAATATTTCATAATTAAATAGTTTAAAGCATTTAAGTAATTTAATTCATAATCGTAACGTTTCGCTTGCATTACAAGAGCCCCGATTTAAATAATTTAAATATTTCAAACCACCCAAAAAGTTTAAATAGTTTAAATAATTTAATTAATAATATCGTAACGTTTCGCTTCGATTACAGGGGCCCCGATTTAAATAATTTAAATATTTTAAACCACCTGGGCAATAAAATATATAATTTATTGAAATCAGCGTCCTTTCGAAGAAAGACGAGTTTCCAGCTAATTTATTAATTAAATTAATTAAATTATTTAAATGATTTAAATTATTTAAATTATTAAATATTTAAATAATATAAATAATTTAAATAATTTAAATATTTTAAAAAATAAAATCGTAACGTTTCGCTTCGATTACAGGAGCCCCGATTTAAATAATTTAAATAATTTAAACCACCCGGGCAATAAAATATTTAATTTATTGAAATCAGCGTCTTTTCGAAGAAAGACGAGTTTCAGCTAATTAATTAATTAAATTATTTAAATTACTTAAATTATTTAAATTATTTAAATATTTAATAATTGAAAAAGTTTGAATAGTTTAAATAGTTTAATTAATAAATTCGTAACGTTTCGCTTCGATTACAGGAGCCCCGATTTAAATAATTTAAATAATTTAAACCACCCGGGCAATAAAATATTTAATTTATTGAAATCAGCGTCCTTTCGAAGAAAGACGAGTTTCAGCTAATTTATAAATTAAACTATTTAAATTATTTAAATTATTTACATTATTTAATAGTAAGTTTGAATAGTTTAAACAATTTAATCAATAAAATAAATGGAACGCTTTATTACAAAGGCCAGGATTAATAATATTTTTTTGAAAAATTATGCAAGCGAAAACCCATTATCTTTCAACAATGTCGACATGATGTGCCTAGTTGTCCCAATCATATATTCAAAATATGTGCATATGTATGTATGTATGTGTAATTATATGATTGAGGGGAAAAAAACCGTCACAAATGTCGTCATTTTGAAACGATGAATAATTTAAACTTACAGTGTGTGCTTTTTTTTTATAATAAAAAAAAAAAAAAAAAAAAAAAAAAAAAAAAAAAAAGCTGGAACTTGTGCCCCCCGACTCCATATGCACGCGATCAATAAATTAAATATTTTATGCCCTGGGGTGGTTTTTGTTTAAATCATTTCAAAAATATTAAATCGGGCGTTCCTGTAATCCGATTTCGCGCGGCAGGAATTTTATTAACAAATTCTATTGCTAATTCTATTTTTTAAACTTTTTAAATTATTAAATATTTAAATAATGTAAATAATTTAAATAATTTAAATAGTTTAATTTATAAATTAGCTGAAACTCGTCTTTCTTCGAAAGGACGCTGATTTCAATAAATTAAATATTTTATTGCCCGGGTGGTTTAAATTATTTAAATTATTTAAATCGGGGCCCCTGTAATCGAAGCGAAACGTTACGATTTTATTAATTAAATTATTTAAAATATTTTAGTTATTTATATTATTTAAATATTTAATAATTTAAATAATTTAAATAATTTAAATAATTGAATTAATAAATTAGCTGGAAACTCGTCTTTCTTCGAAAGGACGCTGATTTCAATAAATTATATATTTTATTGCCCGGGTGGTTTAAATTATTTCAATTATTTAAGTATGGGCTCCTGTAATCGAAGCGAAACGTTACGATTTTATTAATTAAATTAGTTAAAGTATTTAAACTTTTTTAAATTATGAAATATTTAAATAATTTAAATAATTTAAATAATTTAAATAATTTTATTAATAAAATAACTGAAACTCGTCTTTCTTCGAAAGGACGCTGATTTCAGTATATTAAATAATTTATTGCCCGGGTAATTTGAAATATTTAAATTATTTAAATCGGGGCTCTTGTAATACAAGCGAAACGTTACGATTTTATGAATTAAATTACTTAAATGTTTTAAACTATTTAAATTATGAAATATTTGAATAATTTAAAAATTTGAATAGTTTAAATAATTTAATTAATAAAATAACTGAAGTTCGTCTCTCGACGAACGGACGCTGATTTCAATAAATTAAATAATTTATTGCCCGGGTGGTTTAAATTATTTAAATTATTTAAATCGGGGCTCCTGTAATAGAAGCGAAACGTTACGATTTTAATAATTAAATTGATTAACTTACTAAACGCGTTTTAATTATTTATTTATTTTTTAATAAAAAAAATGATTAATAAAATAAATGAGGTTCGTCTCTCGTCGAAACGGTACTGATTTAAAGGATTGAAAACTTTGCTCTGGGAAATTAAATAGTTCAATTTGTTTTAATCGGGCTCCGGTAATAGAGGCGAAGCCTTCGCAACTCCCGATGTTTAGTACTCTTTTTCGCATGGCAGCGCAAATGCCGCGCGTCGAGGCAGTGACAAGGCAGCACGTAGTTGAGCCTCAAACATAAACGCAACCACTAGCATTCATCAAGGGAAAAGCCGTCCGCCCTAGCTGCGCTTCCGAACAAGAGAGAAGGGCGTGCGCTTGCGCTGCTTGGCTGCGCCCGGCCGCTTCAGGGTGCGAATGAATTGTTGTTGCCCTGCTGGCTTGCGCGCAACAACCATGCGCTTGTGATCCACCTTCCACTTGTTCGCCAGGGGCTCAGCGGCTTTGCGCTGCAGCGCCAGCGGAAGCTGCGCTTTCCGCGGCGCCCTCTGCTCCTGCGCCTGAGAAGCGCAATGATTTGCCCGCTCGGCGGCGGATATCGCAAACGAGCAGACCACGCTAGCTGCGACAGTTTGCGAAGACAGCTGGCGCAGAGTGGGGGCGTGCATAGCTGAATTATGCATCATTTGCTTGCCGATTACGTTGACGCCGAGCTGGAGCTCTAAAGTCTGCGCGTACAACTCCGGCTGGTTCTTAAACCACCTGTTGATCTCGCTACGCAGCGCTTCGTTTGGGCTCGTGCCCGAACCGAGCAATGGCAGCGCGCGAGCCGGCAGCGAGTGCCGCATGCGCAAATTATTAAAAAGATACTCGCGTCGACTGTGCTGCGCGGCATTCGCTATTACATCAGCCAGCTTCTTGCTTGGCGCGGCGGGGGTGCGCCTGTCCACTTCTTCCCAGTAGACGGACGTCAATGCCGCCAATGCCTCGATGAACTCAAGTTTTCTCACGAATGGCTCATTGGCGTCGAGATCTGCAATGATCTTGTGCGCTCGGCGCTTCTGCATGCCGCCGCCGGCTATCAACGACTGCGCGCGGCCCTCGGCGGCAGACAGCGAGCTAGCCTGGTGGCCCGTGTAAGGGGCGCCCCTCGCGGCGCCATTTAAATCTGAGCTCACTTTATTGAATTTATTCAAAATGATTCGCAAAACTGCCTGGCCCGGAGAATGTTTCCGCCAGTGCGCCTGATTAATACACAATTGCGAGTAATGAAAAAGACTAGGCACCAAAAAACGTGAGCTGAGGAATGATTTGCTTGAGCTCTGAAAAAATGTCGCCGACCGGATCATCTGATGCCACTGAGACGCACTGCTGAGAGCTCGCTCGGGCAAGTGATTTTCTTGGAGAGCAGCCTTCACGACGGATGCCGCTTCGCTGGCCACGGGCCACATGCCAATGGCGGCTGACGTGCGACCTTTGGCAGTCAAAATGCGCCTCTTGGCAGCGCCGTCTGGAAACGGCGCCGCCGCTCGAATCTCTGCCGGTTCCCTGTAGTTCGCCTGGCCTTTCACGCGCATGGCAGTGCGCAGAGTTGCATCCAACGAAACGTGCTCAAACTCTGTATTATCAACCAACTCGCCCATGAGATTGGTTCGCAAGTCCTCTACGAACGGAGACGAGAATACGTCCTCCATCAACGACAACCACTGAACGACCTTTCCTGGTAGAAGGTGCGTGACGCAACTGCCGGCTTCCTTAAAGCGCGTCACAATCCTCGCCCTCATCGGGCGCACTCGACCTTCGTGCAAGATGGATTCGCGGAAGACGAGCTCGGCGAACTCCTTCGTGTAGTACGTGTTTCCCGCGCGCCTGTCGAAGCCGACGAAAGAGTAGGATGGCAAAGGGCAGGGCGCGCAATCAGCTCACGCAGCTACTGTCCCCGGCGCCCCGCAACGCCGGGAGGCGCCCGCGCGTCGAAGAACGGGCTCAACGGGCGGAGCCGAAACCAGCTGCGCGAAACAGATGTCGCACCCCCCCCCCCCCCCTTTCCGCATCCTGCTCTTTCTTCCAGCCCGAGCCTGGCTTGGAGCGCGCCATCTCTCGCGAGAACCTCGAAGTTGACAAACCGGGGCCCGTCGCGGTCAAGGAGCAGCCGAATCTGCTTGTCAACACCAAGACACCGCAACGGCGGGCTCACCGACCGCCGCATGAGATCGGCACTGCGCTGCAGCAAGTTCTTCGGTTGATGCTTTCATAACATGTCGTCGTCAAACAACGCCTGGATGACTTTCCACTGCATAGTGCCTGAAGCAACGTACCGACCTGATCCCATCTTACGATCTCTACCATTCTCGCATTTTCTGTGCAAGCCGTGGTGATTCGCGATATGCGCAAGGAGATCCCTCTTAACGTTTACAGACGAAGTATAATACTCTTTGAATGGGCAAAGCAAGCACCTTGAACGGCTCCCATTCCCGTCCTTCGTGGCGCCTGTGCGAGAGAGCGACTTCACGATCATCTCGAAGTCAGTAACCTCGTCACGTAGTAGCTGCAAGAGATTCGCATGCACGCGCACGCATGAATCGCCATCCAATTCCTCGGCGTGCTCGTCGTCGGCGTTCGCGACGTCAACGGCCCCCTCCTCCTCGACGCCGGCTCCGGCCACCATGTCCATGGCGTCGCGTGCAGCGACGTCATCGCCAAGGGTCGACGAATGCCCGCCGCCGAGAGCGAACGCCGCCTCGACGCCGAAGTCGAGGATAATCCGCAAGCAAGCGTCGAGACAACCTCGAGGTACGTCCCAAGATAACCCTTCTGAGTGTAAGATGCTGCCGCCGTGCTCGAATACTTCGACAGCTGCGCAATGTTCTCTGCCTGCAACTTTTCCGTGAACAAGAAATCGGCCAAGTGTCTCCACCGCCGTCGTCGGCACTGGCCGCAATGAAACGCCAAAGAGATTGGCGCAGTCACTATATCGACGAAGGCCGCTCGCCATAGCTGCTGCGTTCTCGTCCGAATCCACAGTCGCAGCTGCGATGACGCCATCCCAATCGCCAGTGAGCGCCGCAATGCCGAACGGGATGCAGTTGCCGTGCCACGTCAGACGTCGTCAAAAGGCACGATGCCGCGAATTGAACAACCGAGCTCGCGAAGAGCTGCCGCCCCCCGCTGCGCAGCTGGGCTGGCCGGCGAGGGCGGCGACAGAGAGCGGTCTGAGCTCGGGCTACCTGCGGCGACGCGCGCCGCGAGCGAGCGGCGTCTGCGCGCGCGGCAGACGGCGGCGACATTGTCCTCGATGCCGGCGCCCGCAAATAAATCCAATGCGCCATCCAAAGAACTATCTCGATGATCTTCGTCATCTCGATCGGCGGGCTTCATCTGAAATGCCACTACCATACACCGATCGAGAGCCGCCAACACCGCCTCGTCCAGCGCCCCGGCCGGCAGACTCCAGCGCTCCCTGCCGACGTAGCACTTGTGCGGCCCACGCTGTTTCACGTCGATGCCGACGCAAAGCGGCGCAACGTCTGGCTCGCAGTGCACTAGGAATAGCCCAGGACAACTTTCCTGTGCCACTTCCACGGGCAACAGCTTCACATTGGCCGCTCTCGCACATGTCCGATACGAGCGCCGAGGCGGCGCCCAGATCAGCGGCGACGAGGCCGCCGAGGCCGCCGCTGCGCTGGGAGGCGTTGCGGCGGCAGCGGCCTTCGTCGACATATCCGACCAGTTGCCCGCGAGCGCAGCCATTGCGCAGAAGATGCCATTGCCGGCAGAGAACAGCGCCTCGACGTCGCTCGGCGCATCTGCAGGCTCAACGTCAAATGCGCTCGCACGGAGAACGGAGAAGATCAATAAAATAATATCTCTCCTTGTTCCTGATGCTTACGGAATAACCCGTAGTGGCAAGAATCCGTTCCTCAGATTTCTTGCAAGAGGATTTGACCTTCTCTGCGTCCGAAACTGCCGTGGCCTGCGCATCGCCGCCCGCCTGGCTCAAAAGGACGCGCCCCTTGTCGACGCGCAGGCCGTCGAAATGCAAAGATACGTGACTGACTTTCTCTTCCATGACAAAGTCGACCCACTGCTCCAAACAATAATCCTCAACGCCTTGCCACATGTAGCTGGCCAACGATGCCTCTGACCACTTGTCCTGCGCGGACTCTAGGAGCTTGAACTGCTCCGGGCACAGCCCCACGGCTAGCCAACGCAGGAAACGCGCTGTTCTCACCAGCATCTTGGCGAACTCGTTCTCGGGACAATTCCTCGGCAAAAGCGCCGCCGCATATCAGCTTGATGCAAGACTCGCTGCCCTTGAACGGCAACATTTTGAAGACGCCCCTATCAGGAGCCAGAGGAAAGCTCGCCCAAGCTTCTTCGCTCGCCAAAGCACCTGCCCCATGGACCCTCTCCCTCCGCCTCATCCCCTCCCCACAGCGGACTAAAACGCCCCTGGACCTATTTCCCCATATGCCGCCACCAGCGCGCCAAGCGGAAACCGCACTCGACTTGGGTGCTTTCCCCGGGACGGCTTTCAGGACTCCAACCTTGCAGGACGCCCTCTCGATCTGCGTTGAACGCGCTGTAGCGCAGGCAAATATCGTCCGAGAACAGCGAGCGCCAAAGATCCAAATTTTCAATGATCTGCGCCAATAAACAAAAACGCCAGTTCCGAAACCAAATCGAAACGTGCTCGAAAAAAAACACGTTGGCTGTAATTCAGTGGTCCATGGCTCTTGCGTCCTGATGTGAGCTCCCGTTGACGTTACGCCGAGGACGGGCCACTCCGCGCGCGCATTGTAGCTCTTGCACAGGATCAGCGGGAACTGGTCTTCCTCCAGTATGGCCGGGTGGAGACTTCTCAACGCTCGGCTGCTTCGAGGCACTTCCTTTCTTTTCTTAAAACCTCGAGGTCCGTGCCGACCTCTTACTCCGGTCAAGCAGCCGCTGCGACGTCTCTGTCATTGACAAAATCTTCTGCGCCCTCTCATCCAAACTCTCGATCCTCTCGAGGACGCCCTTCGCTGGCCGCCCCCGCGCAGGAGCAATCGCCGATGCGAGCGCGTTACACGCGCCTGCCAAAGTCTTCTCGTTGGCCAATCTGGATGTACACCGCGCCGCCTCCAGCGCCGATGCGTCGCAATGCTCCGGGTATATCGCATCGCAGCATGGCGGCCGCCGTGAACAAAGAATCGAAACGTCTCTCTGAGTCTTGACGCGCGGAATCAGACGATCTTCCGCCTTGCCCTTGGAACCGACGTCGATCCACAAGTCGCTGCCTTTCAACGACTCCCATTATTCTTCTTTGTTACCCTTCAGCCTAGCGCCGGGAGGTGTTGCAGACGCTCGGAACACGCTGTAAGTCAAGTAGTTCAATCCTTTCCGCTGCAGCTCCTTCACCAAATGGTTGCTGAGAAGGAGTATCGGCGAACTCGGCAAATGGCCGTCCTGGGACGGCGGGTCAACCAAGCCCTCGGCGACAGCGCTCGCCGCTGATTCCGCAGCGTTGTCCGCCTTGATATGACAAGCGATCCTGACGTATGTCTCGGTTACTCCATGGTCACCGCCGCACTTCGTGTAGTTCACCAAAATGTCTCTGCACGCCTCGGGCCCGTTCTCCACCTCGAACGCGTACTGAATCTTATGGCCTGCCGCAACTGCGGCCCCGCTAATCATGAAGTCCCTGGCGTCGGGATCGCGCGCGAAGATGCCGTATCTGCTCGGGTCGGTGAGAATAATCTTATCAACGTAGAGCTTGTCAAAGAACCGCGACTGTATCTTGATGATGGCGATGCGGCGCACAATAGACTCCAGGTTGTGCTCGTTGACGTTGTCGAAAGTGAAGAACTGGTTTACCTCCATGCGCTTCCACCCGATGATCCTGTACATCTTCGTCAAGATGGAGTACGGCAGTCTCCCCGCGATGGTGTCGGCCGTGGCGAACTTCTTGAGTAAGTCCTGGCGCATGCTACTCCTCTGCCCCGAGGGCCGCCCCTGGCCGGTGAAGATGCAGCCGCCGACCAAGAGTTCCACCACCTTCCGCATCTCCTCGCCCTGGAAAAGTATATTCGGATCGAAGAACTTGTGGTTCTCATCGCCGTACATCGCGTGCAAGTGCGAAGTGTAGAGGGATAGGCCGACGCCGCCCGGCCCCCAATACACAGTTATTTGGTCGATGTTTTGACCGCGCTTGGCCAATGCCTGCGCTGCCTGGCCGAAGACGAACGATTCGGTATAGACCAAAAAGTTTGCTCATACACGCGCTGAACGCGCTCCATGGCGGCGCCGAGCACCGGGTCCAGCAGAGGTGTCGGGATGCCGAGATATATGTTGTTCTCTGGTGAACGAGACGACAACAAGCAAACGTTCTCGAAAGCGCTGCGATCGTACAACACGCAGCAGTCAGCGCACGCGCATCCTGGAACCCGCTGCATGTCAGTTAAACACCACTCAATGAAATAAGGAACCAACTTGTTTCCCAACAACTCATACTGAAGCTTAGTTGACACTTTGGATATGGTCTGAGCCGTTAGCACGAACCAGCTGTCAGCCGAATTGCTCGTGTCCGGTGCAGGGGCTGCAAAGGCGCCCTCTGCATCCTCGCCGTCGCCGCCCGGTTCGCTCTGCCTGCCAGGCGCGGCGCCCCCTGCTTTCAACAAGTTATTGCCTTTGTTGAACATGCAGTTGTCATGGAAAGTCAACATTGCACTCGGCAAGTCGTTGTTGTTCTGCGCCAAGGCCTCCTTGATGGACGAACCGATCGCATTCAGTACGTCCGCGTCCTTGCGCGCGACAGGCGCCTTGAAGGACCTGAACAACCCTTCCAAGGTCAGCATGGCATTGCCAGCGGCAGCTAGCACGGTCGGCGGCATGAGACCGTCGAAGCCCTCGAAATGTCCAAGGGAATGATCGTAAAAATAAGCACGACCTGAGCGCGCCCGCAGCTCGCGCCCGCCCAGAAGCACCCAGAGAAGCTGAACGTGCTGAAGGAGGCTGACATCAGATTGCCTGCTCCGATACAGCATTAGAGCTGCCATCCCAAGCCTTTTGACATCGTCGTTCCACTCCTCGTGGTTTTTGTTAACGATATCGGCAAGCCTCTCCGTAGCAGCCACCACTCCGTGAAACTGAGGCGGGTCGGCGGCCGACGAGTTCGCGAGCTTCGAGGGCTTCTCCGTCACGTCGGACCACATCGACTTGAACGTCTCCCGGGAAGTGGCGGCCCCCGCGATGCGCATCCGCTTCGCCAAGGCCGCGACCATGGCGGCGTCTCGAGGAGCTCCCTCAGATATCTCGGCCGCCATCGTGTCCTCGGCGCCAACCGTCGGGGGGTCGCCCGGTTGCGTTGGCACCTCGAATTCTGCAGCCTGTGTTTCAGGGATCGCCGAGTCCTCTATGACCGCCCCCAAATCTCTGGAATACTGCGATAAGTGCGGAGCCCCCCCGCGAGACGTGCCGGCCCTGAGACCGCGCAGACGACGGCCCAGGCAATGGCCATGCGCTCCCTTGTCAGCGATGATGACTTTGAAAATCAACATGTTTGGCGGCGCCGATACCTTGGACGTGGTTTCAAACTTGTACTTATTCTCCCAAATGGTAACGTAGCGATCATGTACGCGAACTCCCGTGCAATGCCCCACTCTCTTGCCAGACTGATGACATAGGTAGGCGCCAGGGAGAGAAAGGTCGCTCACCTTGCGAGAGCTCGGCGTCAGCGGCGGCAACGGCGAAGCGGGCCGCGCGCCCGACAGATTCGAGGGGATCATTTTGCGCGGCCCGACGGGGGGCCGCGACTGGCAGTCCCCCGCGAACCGATCGAGCGCGCCTGCCCGCTCTCCGACGCGCCGACGACGCAAGCCCGCCCAGGCGCCTCCTGCCAACCAACGCCCAGCGCAGCGGCGACGTCCACGTATTTGCGGCCACGCGAAGCGGCGGCAGGGAAGATCTTCGCATATGCTACGGCATCCAGCGCCTTGCCGATCACGTGGCCGATGCCATGCGCGACGCAGTTGCCCTGGCGCGAAAGCAACGCCAGCTCCGGCTGGAGGTCTGTCTTCGCGAAGATGGGGGCATTCAAGCCGCGCATGTACCAAGGCGCCTTGTCCTTCGGATCAGTCGGGCGGCGGCGAGGCTTCGACGAACGCCCGCCAGCGGGTCCTGTCTGCGCCGTCACCACGCCCGACTGCATCCAGTCAAGGACGCCCTCGTTCGTCAGGACGCCCTTCGCCACCAAAGACTCCAAGACGTCAATCTCAGGCAAGTCGCTGCGAGGCCATCCGGCCGATGCTGCTTCTGCACGATAGGCGTCGTGGATTGTTTGGCCTGAAATGACGCCCGCCTCGACGAGCGCCAAAACCTCCTCGCTGCTGAGATCCAGCTGCAACGACGACGCCATTGGGATGCTGAGTAACAGCAACGAATCAGTTTGTAAGAGGCGCCGTGCCCTCGAGTCGGAAATATGAAGGAGGGCGCAGGACCCTCGAGTCGAGATTGGAGATGAGCTCTCCTGGGCTTCGCTTTGAAAGCTGCTCGAGCAATCGGCTACAACGTCGCTCCTATCAATCGCAGGCAGAAGCTATCGCTCTTTCATATACATGTACTTCATTCCGAGACACGCAGAATTCAAGATGGGCGATCGGCTCCCTGGGAGCTGGGTTGACAAAGAGAAAGAGTGAGAGAGAAAGAGAGAGAGTCGAGATCGGGGATGGGCTCTCCTGGGCTTCGCTCTGACAGCTGTTCAAAGCAATCGGCTGGAACGCCGCCGCGATCAATCGCAAGCAAAAGCTATCGCACTTTCGTAGATAATTCCTCCAAGACACGCCGACATCGAGATGGGCGATCGGACACCCATGGGAGCTCGGTTGGCACAGAGAAAGAGAGAGAGATAGAGAGACGGACGAGTCGAGATCGGAAATGCGTTCCTCGGGCCTTCGTTCTGACATCTGCTCAATGCTATCGGCTGCAACGTCGCTCTGACCAATCGCGGGCAGAAGCTCCTGGGCTTCGCTCTGATAGCTACTCGAGAGAATTGGCTGCA